TTTACTTATGAAGAACCTCAGGTAACTGGAGTTGATCCTGCATTTGGCCCGAAATCAGGAGGAATCGAAGTTGTGATCAGTGGTGGCAGTCTGAGTATTGGGAACAGAGACGACACTGCAGTCACACTCGGTGACAGTGACTGTGCCATCACATAGTGAGTATTTATCCTGAAATATTGGTGTTGTGATTGCTATTTGTGTGTCACAGCATTAACGATTCGAGGATCATTTGTAAGTCTGGAGTGTTTCTTCAAGGCATGTCAGAAGCTGTAGTGGTTATGATTGACAATGCCAGTGTCAGTAGAGATAGGGTGGAGTTTGCTTTCAGAGAAGACCCCATTTTCATCAGTGTCGGCCCCCAAAGAGTCATTCCCTCGTAAGCAGCCTTTTTCACACAAGTACAATAAGCAATTTGTTTGTACATTGCAGGGGTGGTATTAATTTAACATTCACCGGAATGAACTTTGATGTTGTGGTCGAACCTGTGTTTGTTTATACTGACGCAAGGCTGTGGGGGTAAATGATGCATATCTCAGTTATTGTGTGGCTATTTGGTGTACTCATTGCAGGAGGTTGGACGGTGTAATGGAGCAGTGGGTAACACAATGATCTGCAGTCTCCCAAAGTTTACCACTCAGGAACCCGATCTGACAAATATCAGCTACACCGTGAGATTTGGAGATGCTCCGGGCCCAAACAGAACAAGAGCAGAGTTGACACTGGAATCACGACCTGACCCAGTGTTCCCAGAAGACGGCACTGCTCTCTCTCAGACAGAGTTCTCCCCTGGCTCTGGGGCTCCTCTCACCATCTCTGTGAGTTGACATAGGTACTCTCTTTCCTTGCCTGATTCTACATGTGTTTCCTCAGGGGATGTTCCTAGACAGTGTAGATAGAAGTGAGATACACGTGACAGTTGGAGGAGAGGAGTGTAATGCCATAATAACAGGAGCTCAAGCTGCAGACACGGTGAGTTTAGCTTTTCTGTATAATAATTTTGATCTCTTTCCTATGTCTCAACAGTATACATGTTTTGTACCAAGGGATCCTCTGAATGGAGTCAACGATGGCAAAGTTATAGTAATTGCAAAATCATTTACTATAGTCGTTCCAAATATCTTTTTGTTTTTACAGGTTATGGTTGGCCAAAATTTGAGGTATGAAATTGGTACAGTGACATATGAAGGAGAAACTGAAGAAGGAGCTTCAAACACTGGAGCCATTGCTGGTTCTGTTACAAGTGTCCTCGTGGTTCTGAGTGGGGCTGTTATACTCATCTTGGTTCTCTTTGTCGTTTTCAAGAGAAAGACTACGGCAAACGAAACTCTGCTTGCCAATCGTTTTGCCCACCACGAGATGGTTGAGACAAAAGGAGGTATTTTTGTATGTTGACAAGATCTGCCCTTAATGTCATTTTTTCTACCAGTATTTCCTTCTAGTGAGGCTGGAGGAGCAGGTTAATATTTCCTTCTAACTGATTTTGGTTTGTACTAACAAATTATTACTAGCAATGGATATGGCCCGGGAAGAGCTGAAGAAGTTTATACCACAGAGACTTCACATTCCTAGCAGTCACTCCGTCTGTTGGACAGTGTTGGACATGGTCAGACACTAGTACACACCTTGGTTTGCTCATCCATGCATGCTCCACAGGAGAATTTGGTGAGGTCTATAAGGCATACCTAATTGGGCTAAAAAAGCAGCGTGCTGTGGCTGTCAAGACACTTAGAGGTATATAACTTTATGTAAGAGCCAGTTTAGGACTAGTGTTAACTTTCCCTCCCAGGGTTGTTTTCGGCCAATGATGTGCAACAGATCTTGCAGGAAGTTGTGAAGATGAAAGATTTCAAACATCGTCACGTCATGCCACTGATTGGAGTGTGCCTTGATTCTGGAGTGGGTGTGGTCATGCCTTTTATGGCAAATGGTAGCATCCTGAGCTACCTCAAGAAAGAGAGAGGGACACTTTTGCTTAATGAAGATGCTGAAATTGAACAGGTAAATATTGTTGCCCTTCAAATTTTACGTCATTCTTGTGTCAGATTGTTCCAGTTCGCAAGCTGCTCATGAGGATGTGTCTGGAGATAGCTAAAGGAATGGAGTATCTGGCAGAGCAGAAGTTTGTGCACAGAGATCTGGCTGCAAGAAATTGCATGTGAGATACTGTCTGTCCATAGTTCACACTGCCAGCTCAGAATAGCTTGCATACTAAGTAATGTATATACTTTAACACTGTTGTGCAGGTTGGACCATAGTGGTTGTGTGAAGGTTGGTGACTTTGGTCTGGCGGAGGATATCTACAGCACAGGCTACGTGAGAGAAGACAATAAGACTGTCAAGGTCCCCTACAAATGGATGCCTCCGGAGAGCTTGGAAGACGCCCTCTTTTCTGAACTGAGTGATGTGGTGAGAAATGAAAACTGTATTGTCGGAAACTCCTATAATACACACTTTGACTTATGCAGTGGTCGTATGGAGTGACATGTTGGGAGATCTTCACAGTTGGTAAGACCCCATACCCAGCCCTTGACCCCCCCGACTCTACTGCGGATGCTGAAGGAAGGACATCGTTTAGAGCATCCTGACAATACCGCATGTTCTCCTGAAATGTAAGGATCTTCACCAGATCTGTTAGTTTTTCCCAGAACACTCCTTCAACACACACATTTTGAGCAACTGTTGAGGGTTTATTGTTATGAAAAGGAACTACAGTAGGTTAATTGTGGATTGGTTTTTTAGGAGAGAAAAATGGATCCCAGCTAAATTTGTTTATTTGCCAGGTATTCGGTGATGAAGAGGTGCTGGAAGTTGGCTCCAGATGAGAGACTGAGGTTCAGTGACCTGGTGGTCAGAGTGGACAAGACCCTCCAGTCAGTGGCTGGCTATGTGGAGCTCTCCATGACTCTGGAGAAGCTAGACCCTGGGGAGGAGGAGGAGGACTGGACTGGGTATGAGGTGATGGAACCTGTACCATATGAAGCTGGTAAGATCTGTTGTGTGACCTATTATATTATTAATACTGCCCTTTTTCAGCTGAGGAAGAGATTTGGGTCGATCCTAATCCTAGCTATGGTACAAAGGTTGTGATCAAGTGAAGGTGGTCATGACAAACCAACCCCCTAATATACTCTACAGATCAAGAATAACGTTTATAAACAGTGACTCTGTACTGTGTATGATTTAGAGAACTCACTCTATACTAGTCTAATAGACAGGGAATAAAATAATGCTGCTTGCAGCAATCAAGGCTAGTTGACATGGAGAAATGTGACTGGAGCAGCATGTTTTGCTGGCCGGGGATGCGCATGCGCAATTGTCATTACTCCTGATCCGGCTTCCGATGTGCGCGCGCGCTATCTAGCGCGCGTGTGTGCGCGTGAGCGTTGTGTCGGTCAAGTTTCGGTTGGAGAAGGTAGATGGGCGTTAGATTAGTAGGAAGAGTGTTTGTTCTGTTGTGCGCGCTGCAGTGGAGCATTGGCCAGCTAGAGTTGGCGAGCTTCTCGTTGGACGTGCCTCCGAACAGCGGCAGTAATGCTGTGGCGGTCAACAGGGAGAATGGAGAGGTGTTTATCGCTGCAGGCAACCAGCTTCTGCGACTGAGCCGCAGCCTTGACCTACTGGAGACTGCTAATGTTAGTGGAGACGATCTCTTGGTCGGAATAGCTCTGAGTCCCGACGGCAGTAGACTAGTGGGATGTCAGGGAGGAAGCTCCAGGAGATGTTTCGTGTACGACACTCGCGACTTGAGCAGTGGACCAAGTGCAACTGTTGAGAACGCTCACTACAATCCGCAGAACGGGCTGGCTATTGTTACGACGGCTGATAGTTTCTACCTGGGCAGTGAGGGCCCATTTGGTCAGCCAGGGGGAACCGATAACATCTACTAGCTCAATACGACTACACCTCAGAGGTAGTGCGAACAACTGGAGACTATAGATTCAGAGTCGATACCGCCGATTTCACTCGCCACTTTTACGGAGGTGTTAGCAGAAACAAGTACGTGTACTATTTTGTAGCAGATCGAGGACAATTTGACGTTTTTCGTGTTCTCCGAGTGTGCGACTGCGCCAGGGAGCAGGCATGTAGTAAAAATGAGTTCGAGGCACTGTATGAACTGGCTGTGGAGTGTAGTAGTTCTGCAACTCAAAACGCCAGAATATGTGGAACTGATCTGGTGGAATCCTTTGCTGGACAGGCTGGGCCGTTTGTAGTAGTGACTCGATGTGAAGATGTGGTTAGTAGTGGTCGAAATCGTGTCTGTGCCTTCAGACTTGCTGATATTGACAATGACATGAACACATATTTCAATGAATGCAAGTCTGGAAAGCAATCTGAATCTGAGCCTCCTTGGGAGCCTCCAACATCTTGTTTAGAGTTTACTGTGAGTTACAGTTTTGTCTAATATTCCATAACTTCTCACTACTCTCCACAGGAAGCCATGCCTTGTGATTTTGGTCCTCCCTCTGCTATTAGTGATACTGGGAGATCCAATGCACAAAGATTTGCATTTCGGTTGGTCAATGCTGGCAATTCTCTCATTACCGCGACGCTAGCAATCTTTGTGGAAGAAGTCAGTTTAGTGTATGTTGCCTATGATGGAGACATTGAAGTGGTGAGTGTACATTTTGTAGCATGGAGTTTTGTATTGCTTTCCCATTCCAATGCAGTATGAAGTAAAAACAACAGATACCAATAACCCAACTGGTTCTCTGTTGCAAACAATTGATAATGTCCCATCAGTGCAAGACATTGGCTGGGAGGAGGGATCAGACAACATAACTATTACCACAGACAACCAGGTACTTATAAATATTTTCACCATTTACTGCAACTATTCATCTTTATCATGTGTCATAGGTCTTTCTGTACCCTCTGGAGACGTGCTCAGAGTCATCGTCATGTGTGGAGTGCACAGAGGAAGACTCATTTCCTCTGTGTGGCTGGTGTACAGTGGAGGACAAGTGTTCTCGGAGGTCTCAGTGTCTCGACAGCTCTCAACCAGGGAGATGGGTCCAGAGCTCCAGCGAGTGTATCTCCACCGCTGTCTCTCCAGCCCAGTTCATTCTGGACTCCCCCACCATTGTAAGTGAAACCACTTGTACCTACATACATTTCAACAAATTTGAGTTTCCACGACGGCCTCTAAGCAGTTCTGACGTAGTATTAACCCTACCCTGAGCTAAACCCCTGGGTAGAGCCTTAATTGCAGTTAAGGCCTGTGGCTGTTGTTGAAAGACGTTCTCCTATCTAGCTGGATGTGACAGCCACCTCACCCCTGCCAGAGAATTTGACGTACAATTGCTCATTCTCTGCCCCTGGAGACAAGTTTACACTAGTGGTCCTTGCTATTGAAGTGGTAGCTGGCACTAAGTACCAGTGTAATATCGCTAATGTCGCTACTTCTCTGGACTCAGCCAAACAAGGTGTGGTAGATACAAACCTGAAAACTGTACCATGATCATCCACCTTTTGTCCTACAGTTACCCACTTCAGCTTTGTCAGTGTTGAAGTTGGTATACCGTTTGCTACTAGTCAAAATGCCCTCACAATCTTCAATTGCAGTGCAGCTAAAAGGTTGGTAGGTTCGCATGGTACAGTGGAACTTTAGATAAGGAGACCCTCCGAGAGGGGGACAACCTCTCTACAAGGGATAAAATCTTTGGCCCCATAGTGTCCCTTGTTTGGAGGTTTCACTGTAATGTGAAGCTAAGCTAATCCAGTGTGCAAGGCCCTACTGACCTCAATAGGCCTGGGGTTCTCTGTGAATTTTAACAGAAACACAAATTTACTACATTAGAAAAATTCAATGATGATTTCCTAATGCCTGTCCCTTTGTCTTCTTTGCCTTTGTTGCTGCCGTGCACACTACTCCATATAGTGTCCAATAGTTTGGCAGTGGATCCACTGGGAATAGGGGGACCTCTGCCGTGCACACCACTCCATACGGTGTCCAATAGTTTGGCAGTGGATCCACTGGGAACAGGGAGACCTCTGCCGTGCATACCACTCCATATAGTGTTCAATAGTTTGGCAGTGGGTCCACTGGGAATAGGGGGACCTCTGCCGTGCATACCACTCCATAGTAGTGTTCAATAATTTGGCAGTGGGTCCACTGGGAACAGGGAGACCTCTGCCGTGCATACCACTCCATACGGTGTTCAATAGTTTGGCAGTGGGTCCACTGGGAATAGGGGGACCTCTGCCGTGCATACCACTCCATATAGTGTTCAATAGTTTGGCAGTGGGTCCACTGGGAACAGGGAGACCTCTGCCGTGCATACCACTCCATACGGTGTTCAATAGTTTGGCAGTGGGTCCACTGGGAACAGGGAGACCTCTGTCGTGCACACCACTCCATACAGTGTTCAATAGTTTGGCAGTGGATCCACTGGGAACAGGGAGACCTCTGCCGTGCATACCACTCCCATACGGTGTCCAATAGTTTGGCAGTGGATCCAGCTGGAACAGGAGACCTCTTGCCGTGCATACACTCCATACAGTGTTCACTAGCTGGCCACTGGGTCCACTGGGAATAGGGAGAAAAAACCCTCTGCCGTGCATACCACTCCATACAGTGGTTCAATAGTTGGCAGTGGTCCACTGGGAACAGGAGACCTCTGCCGTGCACACCACTCCATAACGGTGTTCAATAGCTTGCAGTGGTCCACTGGGAATAGACCTCCTGCCGTGCATACCACTCCATACGGTGTCCAATAGTTTTGGCAGTGGGTCCACTGGCACAGGGAGACCTCTGCCGTGCATTACCACTCCATACGGTGTTCAATAGTTTGGTCAGTGGGTCCACTGGGAACAGGGGAGACCTCTTGCCGTGCACACCACTCCATACGGTGTCCAATAGTTTGGCAGTGGGTCCACTGGAACAGGACCTCTGCCGTGCACACCGCTCCATATCATGTGTCAATAGTTTGGCAGTGGGTCCCACTGGGAACAGGGAGACCTCTGCCGTGCACACCGCTCCATATAGTGTTCAATAGTTTGGCAGTGGTCCACTGGCACAGGGAGACGTCGGTCTAAAGCTACCCACAGCCCTCTCCCCACCCAAAACACTCTCTCATTTGCCACACTATAATGAACAACATGGAGACAAGCACAGCTACTTGCATTATACATGGATATACCTTGGTGTTTGGCCCTTCAAAGACATACTATTATTATTAGTACACCAAAGTCAACCTCCTTCCCACCACTAAGCTAGTCACACACATTGTACATACTTCACCTGGTGGTCATTGCAGACTTACGGTGACTTAACTGCTCAGGACTATAGGCTTCATGGGATTGTTATGGCAACAAACAGGAGAGATATAGCAAACTGCGAGCACACACGACAAAAAACCTCTGTGGAGAGTGCTGACTAGCAATTTGTTGTAACTCGGGTGTGTTAAGGACTGGGTCCAGCACACTTGTTTTAACCCCATGCTTATACTTATAGTGTAGTATTCGACCTCCAAGATAGTGAAGACCTCTCTGGAAGGGACAAGTTGTTGGCCCCATAGTGTCCCTTGTTCGGAGATTTCACTGTAATGTGCGTCTTGGTCACGTTCTGTGTCTTGTTCTTCCCTCAGTTGTGTGGATTGTCTGGGTACCCAGGGAGCCTGTGGCTGGTGTCTATATGAAGGAATTTGCAGTGGGATATCAGAACCTTGTCCCGTGCCTGAAGGAGTGAACAACTCATACCTCAAAGTGAGCTCTCAGTCGTGTGTGAAACACTGAGCAATTCGCCTGATTTTTCCCTCACAGCTTGGTACCAGCTCTGAACCAACTGAAGTGTGCCCTGTTGTAAATTCAGACCCGACTACTGGGAACTATACTCAACCAGTCAACGTGGCCAGAGATCTAGTTCTAAAGACCAGCAACCTGCCATCTCCTGTGAGTTGAGACAAAATGCAGTGGTGTCATGTGGCATTTGGTGTGGCTATACATTCTGCAGGTTGATGGTTTCCGTTATGAGTGCACTATTAACGGCCAGCTTTTTCACGCAATTCTCAACATTGCAGAAGATACTGTCGCCTGCATCATATCGGAGGGGGTAAATGCATGAACAATGCACTCTATTATCTCCATTTCTCTCTGTGTCAGGTCCTTCAAATATCGTCCGGTGACCAGACAGTATCCCTAGAGTTGATATGGACTAACGATGCAGTCTCCTATCCTCTCAATGGCAATTCAACAGATAGCATTGTGTGTGAGTTTGATTGGATCAAACAAAGATACTTTTTCTTGTTTGATATTATACAGGTATTCTCTACGACTGTAATGAGTTGGAGACTAGTTGCTCATCTTGCCTGGGAGAAATGTGGCTGGGTTTACGTGTGGCTGGTGCTCCAATGAGTGTGTGGTGACAGAAGAATGCAGTGATACCTTTTTCACCACAACTGCCATGTGTCCTCTGCCAATAATTGACTCGGTCCAGCCCAACAGGGGACCCACAGCCGGAGGGACTCGTGTTAACATCTCTGGGCACTGACCTTGGAGCCTCTTACAGTGATGTAATAGAAGTTAGTCTACAATCAGTTACTGGTACTAGTGTAAGCTGTTTACTGGCTGGAGAAGAGACGTATGTTTTAGGAAGAGGGATAGTCTGTGTGACTCCAAGCGTGATGTTTGGTGGAAACTATGTGTTGAAAGTTCTCATCCAACGTGAATCAATCACAGAGGTGGTCAGTGCACCTTACTCTTATGAAGAGCCTCGGCTGACTGCAGTTCATCCTGCATTTGGGCCGAAATCAGGAGGAATCGAAGTGGTGATCAGTGGTAGCAGTCTGAGTATTGGAAACATTCAGAACACCTGCATTCAGCTGAATGGAGTTGATTGTGAGATCATGACGTGAGTCCAGTATAATTATGTATCTCTCTTGCCATTCCTCATTTTCTCTTGTGTCACAGCATACTTGATTCACACATCAGTTGCGTATCTGGAGAGTTTCAAGGAAGTACGTCAGTGGCAGTAGTGGCGTTTATCGACAATGCCAATGTCAGTGAGGATGGAGTGGACTTTGCTTACAGAGAAGACCCTGTTTACTTCAGTGTCAGCCCCAAAGAGTCATTCCCGCGTAAGCATTCTTTTTAAGATGACGACAAAAATTATAAAGCAATTTCTCTCTACTTATTGTCGCAGAGGTGGTATTAATTTAACACTTACTGGAATGAACTTTGATGTTGTGGTCGAACCTGTGTTTGTTTATACTGACGCAAGGCTATCCGGTTCAGTGGGGGTACTATACACATATCTGAGTTATTGTGTGGCATTTGCTGTATTCTTTACAGGTTGGACGGTGTATGGAGCACAGGGTAACACGATGATCTGCAGTCTCCCTAGCTTCACCACTCAGGAACCCCATCTGACGAATATCAGCTACACTGTGATATTTGGAGATGCTCCAGGCCCAAACAGAACAAGAGCAGAGTTGACACTGGAGTCGAGGCCTGACCCAGTGTTTCCAGAAGACGGCACTGCTCTCTCTCAGACAGAGTTCTCCCCGGCTCTGGGGCCCCTCTCACCATCTCTGTGAGTTGACACTGGACTTTACTCTCTTTCTATGTAATAGTTAGACGACAAGACTACGCGGATTTAGGGGGCCGAGGTCCTGGGGCTGTGGCGTTCTGAGCGCGCTGAAGGACACTACTACGGAGCCTGAGGCTTCCTAAATCGCGTGGTTTCCATGACTCGCTGTCTAACTGTTTTAGAGTGTGACGGCGCACAAAAACATGAGAAAATGTTTCAAAGGCCCTGGGGGGTGAACATTATCCAATAGCGTTCCTCGATAGTATTCCTCGTTCTACTTAGTGTTCCTCCTCATCCTACAGAGGAAGGTGCATAGACTAGCTTTCTCCTAGTTGACACAATCAGATTCGAGTATTTCAAACGGCCGTACACTAAGTTTTATTACAGTAAATCCTCTTCAGGGAATGTTCCTGGACAGTGTAGATAGAAGCGAGGTACACGTGACAGTTGGAGGAGAGCTGTGTGAAGCCATAATAACGGGAGCTCAAGCTGCAGACACAGTGAGTTGAGCTTTTCTGTGTAATAATTTTGATCTCTTTCCTACTGTCTCATCTCAGTACACATGTCTTGTACCAAGGGATCCTCCGAATGGAGTCAACGATGCCAAAGTTATAGTAAATGCGAAATCATTTACTATGGTAATTCCAAATATCTTTCTCCTTTTTTACAGGTTATGGTTGGCCAAAATTTGAGGTATGAAATTGGTACAGTGACATACAAGAGTAATGAAGGAGAAACTAATCCGAATGAAGAGGGAGCTTCAAACACTGTGGCCATTGTTGGCTCTGTTACAAGTGTCCTTGTGGTTCTGAGTGGGGCCATTATACTCATCTTGGTTCTATTTGTCGTTTTCAAGAGAAAGACTTCGGCAAACGAAACTCTAGATCTGGTTGCCAATCGTTTTGCCCTCCAAGAGATGGTTGAGACAACAGGAGGTATATACGTTTTGTGTTGACAAGATCTACCTTGTAAATGTTTCCGCTAGTATTTCCTTCTAGTGAGGCTGGAGAAGGAGCAGGTTAATAATACTTCTTACTGAGGATATAGGTTTCTAACAAATTAATTCCAGCAATGGATATGGCCCGAGAAGAGCTGAAGAAGTTAATACCACAGAGACTGCACATTCCTAGCAGTCCTCTTCGTCTGCTGGACAGTGTTGGACATGGTCAGACTCCGTACACACCTTGTTTTGCTTATCCACCATGCATGTTCCAGTCCACAGGGGAATTTGGTGAGGTCTATAAGGCATACCTGACTAGGCTTAGAAAACAGCGTCTTGTTGCTGTCAAGACACTTAGAGGTAGGTTCATTTACTTTTATGTAAGAGCAAGTTTATTCAGTACCAATGCCAGTTTATTCAGTATAAATGTCTTTCCCTTCCAGGGTTGTTTTCGGCCAATGATGTGCAACAGATCTTGCAGGAAGTGGTGAAGATGAAAGATTTCAAACATCCTCACGTCATGCCACTGATTGGAGTGTGCCTTGATTCTGGAGTGGGTGTGGTCATGCCTTTTATGGCAAATGGTAGCATCCTGAGCTACCTCAAGAAGGAGAGAGGGAAACTTTTGCTTAATGAAGATGCTGAAATCGAACAGGTAAAATGTTTTCTTGCCCGTAAAATGTTACACGTCATTCTATTCTGCCTTTTTCTAGATTGTTCCAGTCCGCAAGCTGCTCATGAGGATGTGTCTGGAAGTAGCTAAGGGGATGGAGTATCTTGCAGAGCAGAAGTTTGTTCACAGAGACCTGGCTGCAAGAAATTGCATGTGAGATATCCATACTACACACTGGCAGCTCAGAATACAGTGGAACCTCCAAACAAGGGACACTATGGGGCCAACGATTTTGTCCCTTGTAGAGAGGTCGTCCATATGTCGGAGGTCAAACTATACACTAAAGTTAGCATGGGGTTGAAACAAGTGTCCCTTGTAGAGAGGTTGTCCTTATCTCAGAGGGTCCCTTATCGGAGGTTCCACTGTATGCCTCTCTCAATGAAAACCAAGTGATATGTAGATGTGGGAGCAAACTGTAGCGAGTCCTGTGCAGCCATGTTTTCTGAGAGAGATTTATAGTATGATGCTTGTGCTCGTCAAAAATATATAGTTTGCAAAAAGTAGTGTAACTTTAACTGTTGTGCAGGTTAGACTATAGTGGTTGTGTAAAAGTTGGTGACTTTGGTCTGGCGGAGGATATCTACAGCACAGGCTACGTGAGAGAAGACAATAAGACTGTCAAGATCCCCTACAAATGGATGCCTCCAGAGAGCTTGGAAGATGGCCTCTTTTCTGAACTGAGTGATGTGGTGAGAAATGTAACCTGTATTGTCCGAAACTCTTACAAACTTGTATGCAGTGGTCGTATGGAGTGACATGTTGGGAGATCTTCACAGTTGGTAAGACCCCATATCCAGCTCTGGACCCCCCGACACTACTGCGGATGCTGAAGGAAGGACATCATTTAGAGTATCCTGACAATACCGCATGCTCTCCTGAAATGTAAGGATCTTCACCAGATCTCTTAGTTTTTCCCCAGAACACTCCTTCAACACACACATTTTGAGCAACCGTTGAGGGTTCATTTGTTTATATGTTAGGTTATTGTGCATTTCGTTTTTATGAGAGAAATGTGGATGCCAGTTAAATTTTTTATTTGCATGCAATCCAGGTATTCTGTGATGAAGAGGTGCTGGAAGTTGGCTCCAGATGGGAGACTCAGGTTCAGTGACCTGGTGGTCAGAGTGGACAAGATCCTCCAGTCAGTGGTTGGCTATGTGGAGCTCTCCATGACTCTGGAGAACTTAGAGTCTGGGGAGGAGGAGGAGGACTGGACTGGGTATGAGGTGATGGAACCTGGCCTATATGAAGCTGAGACTGGTAAGATCTAGCTACTGATATTGTGTGACTATTACATGCCTTTTTTCAGCTGAGGAGGAGATTTTGGTTGATCCTAATCCTAGCTATGGTACAAAGGTTGTGATCAATGAAGGTTGTGATGACAAACCAACCCTCTAATTAAACTCTACAGATCGACAATACATTTATAAACAGTGACTTTGTATCATGTAGAGAACTCTCTATAATAGTTTAATATACTGGTAAAAATGTAATGCTCCTTGCGGCAGTCAAAGCTAAGTTGACATGGATCATTGAGTCTGGGCGCAGTGAGCGGCCGGTGCCGGGGCTTGTTATGTGCATGCGCAATTGTCATTACTTGACGATGCGTCTAGCTTCCGGTGCGCCGGCCGTGTAGTGAGCGAGTGCCAGACCACCTCCTCAATACATCTGACCACCATCCAGCCCTGCTGCATGCTCACTGCCAGTACCCTCGGAACCAGAAGTCCACCACAAGCCTATATTCACCCCCAGATACACACAACCCCTGCTTATATATACAGTCCTCACCAATCCCTTCCTCCAGAGCCTGATCTTTCTCACCAGCCAAGTCTCATTGACCAATCTATCAGCTCGGCTCGAAGAATATTCCACCTAAGGCCTACCGGCACTTCAAGAAACTGCAGGATGGGGACCTTTACTGAAAGATGCTAAGAGAAGCAGCAAGAACTTTTACCGCCTATGGGTGAATGCTGGCAACCCGACGAGAGTCTGTGACATTGGATGTGTGGGGAGAGTTGGCTAGCCATCAAAGATCTTTAACCCACCGTCTCCAGTTCTCAAGGCTGGGCATCCATGTCTTACTCTTGTGCTTGTATGTGTAGTGCATACACACACATACTGTTCCGCTCTAACATTGGTACGTTGCTCTCGACGTTCCCTATTACTTCCATAACTTAGGCGCCCGTAAAATAAACCAGTGGTTAATACTTGTGTGTATTCATGAGTTAATATAATGACGTATGCTGGTGGGGTGTGTGGGGTTGTGCTGGCCTGGTTGTGCGGGGGTGGGTAAACATCAATATCTGATGCATGGGGGGACTGTATGTTGTGTGACGCCGACAAAAGCCTTCCCAAAATCATCCCCTGTTCCCCTTCTCAAATTCCCTCCCTGGCTTTTGATACCATCCATACCTAACACACACAGAGAGAAGAGTGTAATTTTATAACTTTTCACTTCGTCCCCGAACTAGTAAGCACCCTGCACACCTTGTTTCCCCTGTAAAGATCTCTGCGATGACCACCCTAAACTCATTCGAAACTTCCCTGTAGGCCTCAGATTCGCAAGGGAAGCGAGGTGTGTAGGGTACTTGTACTCTGCATAACTCATGTGATAGAACTCATGTGAAAGAACTCATGTGAAAGAAAGAACTCATGTGGCTTGCTGGTGCAGTTCAGCAGACTCGACTTCCAGCCGCTTGTCGCAGTTGAGGTTGATCTGCTTCTTGGTGGTCTGCTCGACTGTCTGCAACCTCTTGCAGCTCTTTTGACATTCCTAAGCCTGACTCAATTGACATTCTTAAGCGTGACCGACACGTACGTACGCAATCTGATTGGCCATGCCAAATGCTTGGCGTTGTCATAACAACTCGTGCCCCTTCCGTTCCGTCCCTCGTGTAGACTAGGAGCGAGCCTGACCTCACAGCCTTAAAGTATCCCTCCTCTCTCTCTCATCCCTCCCTCCCTGGCTCCAGAGTGGCCGCAGTATCAGTGGGACAAAGCTCTGACTCTCTCCCTGGAATCCCTTTCCCTGTACCTACTGTGTTCTCCTCTGTGCCGCTGATTACTGCCTTCACAGGTATATACGTTCACGTGCTAGAACGATCCTGAGGCCCTGTAGAGAACGAACCCAGCATGCATATAGACCACTCATAATTCATCCTCCCTCCCTCTCTCTCTCTCTCTCCTCTCTCTCCCGCTCCTCCTCCTCCTCACTCATCTCCTCTATCTCTTCCCCTCTCCTAACAGTGGTTACTATGAAAAGCACTAAAGTGCAAACCCTCGGCGAACTGCGCATGCGCGATACCGCTAATGATGGGCTGGGCCGGTTATTTGCGTTTACTCGTGGTCTTCCGCTAGTAAACATTGTCTCTCTCTCTCTCTCTCTCATCAGCATGTGTGCATCACCAAGTACACCAAGTACACTAAGAAAGAAAAGAAAAATAGAACGTAAGTTTACAACATCTTTGTGCTACATGACCTTCTCGAACTTTCCCCGCGCCCAATAATTTCCAGATATACTCCCGCCGGTACTTTAACTAGTACATAAAGCTTGTTTGAGATACGTAGGTGCTATTTCTGTTCCGTCTCTTCCAGGAACATGGAAACCTTAGTGAAGGAGCTACCTAAAGAATTGACTCAAGATTTACAAGAGCTCCCCAATTTGCTGGAAGAACTGGGAAATCTCTCTGCGTTTCAACTCTATCCTAAACGCGTGCAGAAATCGGCTTTAATTGATGTACTGGGTGATAAATCTCCCCTGGTAGAAGTCATCATGGAGCGTTTAAAGGTGAGTGCTGGGGCACCTGGCAGTTACGTTGACCAGGCCTTGAACTGCGATACTGTAATCTTTAAACATCACTTATCACATGTTCCTTAACAGGCCAATACTGCCCCACCGTCTACAGTTGACAAATTGTTGTCATATACTTTGGCACCCTCTCAATCTCAAAACATTAGTTATGGAACTTTCATCAATGTTGCTGAAGCGATACTCAAGCCGACCAAACCATTTGGTGATGAGAGTAGTGTAAGAAATTTTTTCTTTTCAAAAATGCATTCTCTAAAAGACGCCCCTCTACCAGAGACAGAGATATCCTCCGTGCAGGCAATGCTTGACGACTACTTACTGCACCATGATCATAATATGATTGGTCTTAGGTCATCGGAGGCTGCTGGTGTCAAATTCTTGCTCGTGTTGTTGGTCTACTGAACACACTCACATCAGCTCAATACAAAACTGTAGTGGAGTTCACAGTGGTGACCGTGCCAATGAATCCCTCCACCGATGGAGCAGTTGTAGCCGTCCACCAGGTCATGTCCCTCCAGTCGAAGCAAATTCTGATGCCAGTAGAGTATAAACCTCTAGTGCATCCTGTAGCTCCTAATGCAAGAGATCTTGTTGAATTGCTTATTCAAGGATTCTACTGCTTCCACGAGTACAAAATTCATGCATGTCTACTCTGTTTGACTGACTTGCACACCTGGCATTATTTCAAAGCCAAGAAGGATATGAAGATAGAGTGGGCGACGTCAATGGTGGAAGAGCGGTCCTCGATACCAGATCTGCAAGCGCTACGGTCACATATTTCTTTCCTTGCTGCATGCTGCTGTTACGGATATAAGAGGAGAACAAATTTGACAACCACCTCAGTTTATTAATACATAACTAGTTTAACTATAAATATACGTTCAACTATAATTATATAACCAATTTCGTTCAACTATAATCAATTTCGTCGCAACTTACAGCAGGATTATCCAGCTAAAACTCTACACACCTTGCTATCTTTGTAATGATGTGGTTCAAGAAGGTTCGAGGAGGTTCGAGGAGGTTCGATGTGCTTGAACCACCCCGAACAAGTGCATAAGCACCCTGCACACCTTGCTATCTCTGTAACAATGTAGATAGAGAAGGTTCGGTACAGTCGAACCACCCCGAACTCATGTGACAAAACTCTACACACTTTGCTATCTCTGTAATGCACTAGTTCGGGGTGGTTGAAGCACATCGAACCTCATCGAATCTTCTCGAATCACATCATCACAGAGATAGCAAGGTGTGTAGAGTTTTGTCACATGAGTTCGGGGTGGTTCGACTGTACCGAACCTTCTCTATCTAAATATTTATGCGTACAGAGTTCATGTGGTGAGTTTTTCAAAATAGGCCTCCACTAGAGGGCTTTCAACTCCTCATTCTACTGCTCATTCTACTGCTGATTCTACTGCTGATTCTACTGCCATTCTACGGGCATTCTACTATGCAATTCTATTCTGCGAGGATGAAGTTCAATTTATTTTCCCCCCTTTCTCTAAAGGGGGGATTGTGGTATTGAAGCTGTTGTGACCTCCAGTGTGCGATTGTTTAATCCGTTCAGCTTAGGTGTTAAGTTGCTGGATTGGAAATTTTTTCCATATATTAATTTTTATATTTCTACTATTTGGTCGGAATTTGAATCCTTGAACCCAGACGAATGGAAAATACCCTACCACCAAAGAAATTATACCGTAAAATTATGGAGCCAGAACTGACAGTTGACGCCTTATGAACTGTATTTGTGTCTAATATCTGTGTACACCTTTTTCAGGCTAATATGGAGAGGATGGAGGAGAGGATGGAAAAGGAGAAGGAGAGGATGGAGGAGGAGCTCAAGAAGGCGAATAAGAAGTTGGAGGAGATGGCGGAGCAGCTCAAATTACAGCAAGTGAAAAGAACAAAGTAACATGGACCGTAACATGGATGCACTACTTTTTTGGCCTTTTTAGGAGGTGAAAAGAAGACGACGCTGAACACACTCACTCATCACATTCTATTTCTGTTTATCATCTCAATTGGAAGTAAAAATATAGGTTAGATGCGGAGCCGAGGTGACTACGCGTGGTAGAGTGCCGAGGGCTCCCGAGCTGTCGGCGTCCCGAGCGCAGCGAGGGCGCTACTAGGGAGCCCGGGGCACTCTACAACGCGTAGTTACCGTGGCGACGCGTCTAACCGGTTTAGATCCATTCAAACTGTTTCGAAGATATGGCCGCGCCAGGCGAGCTGTTACTACCTTGTCTAGACCAGGAAGACTCCGAGAAGGAACTCGACATACTCATGCTCGCCGCGAGCCAATCCTCGAACGCTCGTAGAGTGGGCGGAGCACTTTTCCGCGAAGCGCGGCGGACGACGAGGGAATGCTGTAGCTTTCGCCTACCGGCCGTTTCTGGCTCGCCGCTGGTAGCTGAAACCTCGCTAGAGTCTCTCTTCACGCTCGCTCCCCAATAGATCCCGTCGTCCGGGGTAGCGGGATCTACGGAAAATAGATCCCGCGTTTGGACCAATGAAATTGCGCGATTTCAAATCACCGGGATCTAATGAGCAGTAGAAGTGCAGTAGAAGGAGCAGTAGAATGTGAAACTACTGTTCAATATACTGCTCATTCTACTGCCATTCTACTGGCATTCTACTAAGGAGCAGTAGAAATCAGCAGAAGAATGAGGAGTAGAATGGCAGTAGAATGGCAGTAGAATGAGCAGGAGTACTGCTCATTCTACTGCTTATTCTAAGCGGCTGTAGATAGCATGACATGCCATTGGTTGTGACTTCCTGAGCCCCCAAGGTACACAGAGCGAGCGGATCAGGTCGCGGTAAGCCCAGTGCGATTATGCATATTGGCTTTTTCGCTTGTTTTCACGGCATATCTCTCGAAACGAAGTCGTTTCAGGAAAATCGCCTAATAATTTTTCAGGCTCCCGTAGTTCTGAATCGCTGGTATCGCTAACCGGCCGCCTCGTAGCCTGTAGTGCCAGAATAAGCGTCGACACACAGACAGACAGACGAGGCAGACAGAACGACGACTACTGTAACCCTCGCTGCGCATGCGCGCCGAGGGTTAGCATTTTTGGAGAGCGGTTAGCTCGCTCCCGCTCACCAACTAGTGGAAATGCACTTACACGATGTATGAACAGACGATAAATATAATTATATTTGATACTTGCGTGGGTGGATCAAAGCTGGAATGCGAGGTCTATCACGCCTTTCTTATCAGATTGTGTGTAAACCACAGTTATGACAGTGTACAGTATACAGTGTATCACGGTTCTCGTCTTCAAACTCGTCGATCCTGACATTCCCAGCTAGAAACGACGAACTGCGGGTCTAGTCACGTCAACGCTACTCGGCCAACAACTGGAGACGACTTATCCATCCAGAACGAAGAGCCAGAACATGTCGCGCGCCCGCTAGTGCTTTCAGGGTGGTTGAGCTAGAAGGCTTGCACGCTTTCTCGAATACAGAAGCATACAGAAGCATCATACAAGCCATCTGTATGATGTCGTAATGCTTGTGGTTTACGTGACGCACACGTGGCTCCGTTGTATTCTTTAGGATGAGGAGGAACACTAAGTAGAACAAGGAATACTTTCGAGGAACGCTATTTGATGGTGTTCACCCTCCAGGAGCTTTGGACAATTTTTTACATTTTCTCATGTTTTGCACGCGCAGCACTCTATAACAGTTAGACAACCACACGATTTAGGAAGCCTTGGGCACTGTAGTAGCGTCCTCACTGCATTCGGAATGCCACAGCCCCAGGTCCTCAGCATCCTAAATCTGCATAGTCTATTACATAGAATCAGGCAAGGAAAGAGAGAGAGAGTCCACAGTGTCAACTCACAGAGATGGTGAGAGGGGCCCCAGAGAACTTTATCTGAGAGAGAGCAGTTCCGTCTTCTGGAAACACTGGGTCAGGCCTCGACTCCAGTGTCAACTCTGCTCTTGTTCTGTTTGGGCCTGGAGCATCTCCAAATATCACAGTGTAGCTGATATTCATCAGATGGGGTTCCTGAGTGGTGAAGCTAGGCTGCAGATCATCGTGTTACCCTGTGCTCCATTACACCGTCCAACCTGTAAAGAATACAGTAAATGCCACACAATAACTCAGATATGTGTATAATACCCCCACTGAACCGGATAGCCTTGCGTCAGTATAAACAAACACAGGTTCGACCACAACATCAAAGTTCATTCCAGTAAGTGTTAAATTAATACCACCTCTGCGACAATAAGTAAAGAGAAATTGCTTTATAATTCTTAGTCGTCATTTTAAAGAGAATGCTTACGCTGGAATGACTCTTTGAGGGCTGACACTGAAGTAAACAGGGTCTTCTCTGTAAGTAAATTTCACCCCATCTCCACTGACATTGGCATTGTCGATAAACGCCACTACCGCCACTGACACTCCAAACATACTTCCCTGAAACTCTCCAGATACACAACTGATGTGTGTATCAAGTATACTGTGACACACAAGAAAATGAGGGAACTTCTCAATGGCAACAGAGATACATATACTGGACTCACCTTATGATCTCACACTCAACTCCATTCAGCAGAATGCCAGTGTTATGAATGTTTCCAATACTCAGACTGCTACCACTGATCACCACTTCGATTCCTCCTGATTTCGGCCCAAATGCAGGATCGACTGCAGTCAGCCGAGGCTCTTCATAAGAGTACGGTGCACTCACCATCTCTGCAATTGATTCACGTTGGATGCGAACTTTCAACACATAGTTTCCACCCAACATCACGCTTGGAGTCACACAGACTATCCCTCTTCCTAAAACGTACGTCTCTTCTCCAGCCAGTAAACAACTTACACTAGTACCAGTAACTGATTGTAGACTAACTTCTATTACATCACTGTAAGAGGCTCCAAGATCAGTTCCAGAGATGTAAACGTGAGTCCCTCTGGCTGTGGGTCCCCTGTTGGGCTGGACCGAGTCAATTATTGGCAGAGGACACATGGCAGTTGTGGTGAGAAAAGTATGACTGCATTCTTCTGTCACCGCACACTCATTGGAGCACCAGCCACATGTAAACCCAACCAAGTTTCTCCCCAGGCAAGATGAGCAACTAGTCTCCAACTCATTACAGTCGTAGAGAATACCTGTATAATATCAAACAAGCAAAAGTGTCGTTTTTTTTATCTCATCAAACTCACACATGATGCCATCAATTGAATTGCCATTGAGAGGATAGGAGACTGTATCGTTAGTCCATATTAACTCTAGAGATACTGTCTGGTCGCCAGACGCATATTTGAAGAACCTGACACAGAGACGAAATGGAGATAATAGAGTGCAGTGTTCATGCATTTACCCCCTCCGATATGATGCAGGTGACAGTATCTTCTGCAATGTTGAGAATTGCGTGAAAAAGCTGGCCGTTAATAGTGCACTCATAACGGAAATCATCAACCTGCAGAATATATAGCCATGCCAAATGCCACACGACACCACTGGATTTTGTCTCAACTCACAGGAGACGGCAGGTTGCTGGTCTGTAGGACCAGATCTCTGGCCACGTTGACTGGTTGAGTATAGTTCCCAGTTGTCGGTGCTTCATTAACTACAGGACACACTTCAGTTGGTTCAGAGCTGGTAACAAGCTGAGAGGGGAAAATCAGGCAAATTGCTCAGTGTTTCACACACGACTGAGAGCTCACTGTGAGGTATGAGTTGTTCACTCCTTCAGGCCGGGACAAGGTTCTGATATCCCACTGCAAATTCCTCCATACAGACACCAGCCACAGGCTCCCTCGGTACCCAGACAATCCACACAACTGAGGGAAGAGAACAAGACAAAAAACTTAACTAAGACGCACATGACCATGTGAACCTACAAACCTTTTAGCTGCACTGCAGTTGAAGATTGTGAGGGTATTTTCACTGGTAGCAAACGGTACACCAACTTCAACACTGACAAAGCTGAAGTGAGTAACTGTAGGAATGAAGGTGGGTGATCGTGGTACAGTTTTCGGTTTTGTCTACCATACCTCGTTTGACTGAGTCCAGAAAAGTAGCGACATTAGCGATATGACACTGGTACTGAGTGCCTGCTGCCACTTCAATAGCAGGGACCACTAGTGTAAACTTGTCTCCAGGGGCTGAGAATGAGCAATTGTACGTCAAATTGTTTGGCAGGGGTGGGGTGGCTGTCACATGCAGCTAGATAGGAAAATGTTGAAATGTATGTAGGTACAAGTGGTTTCACTTACAATGGTGGGGGAGTCCAGAGTGAACTGGGCTGGAGAGACAGCGGTGAAGATGCACTCGCTGGAACTCTGGACCCATCTCCCTGGTTGAGAGCTGTCGAGACAGTGAGACCTCCGAGAACACTTGTCCTCCACTGTACACCAGCCACACAGAGGAAATGAGTCTTCCCCTGTGCACTCCACACATGAGGATGACTCTGAGCACGTCTCCAGAGGGTACAGAAAGACCTATGGCACATGATAAAGATGAATAGCTGCAGTAAATGGTGAAAATATTTATACGTACCTGGTTGTCTGTGGTAATAGTTATGTTGTCTGATCCCTCTTCCCAGCCAATGTCTTGCACTGATTGGACATTATCAATTGTTTGCAACAGAGAACCAGTTGGACTATTGATATTTGTTGTTTTTACTTCATACTGCATGGAAATGGGAAAGTAATACAAAGACCCCATGCTACAAAATGTATACTCACCACTTCAATGTCTCCATCATAGGCAACATACACTAAACTGACTTCTTCCACAAAGATTGCTAGCGTCGCGGTAATGAGAGAATTGCCAGCATTGACCAACCGAAATGCAAATCTTTGTGCATTGGATCTCCCAGTATCACTAATAGCAGAGGGAGGACCAAAATCACAAGGCATGGCTTCCTGTGGAGAGTAGTGAGAAGTTATGGAATATTAGATAAAACTGTAACTCACAGTAAACTCTAAACAAGATGTTGGAGGCTCCCAAGGAGGCTCAGATTCAGATTGCTTTCCAGACTTGCATTAATTGAAATATGTGTTCTTGTCATTGTCAATATCAGCAAGTCTGAAGGCACAGACACGATTTCGACCACTACTAACCACATCTTCACATCGAGTCACTACTACAAACGGCCCAGCCTGTCCAGCAAAGGATTCCACTAGATCAGTTCCACATATTCTGGCGTTTTGAGTTGCAGAACTGCTACACTCCACAGCCAGTTCATACAGTGCCTCGAACTCATTGCTACTACATGCCTGCTCCCTGGCGCAGTCGCATACTCGGAGAACACGAAAAACGTCAAATTGTCCTCGATCTGCTACAAAATAGTACACGTAGTTGTTTCTGCTAACACCTCCGTAAAACTGCCGAGTGAAATCGGAGGTCTCGACTCTGAATTCCTCGTCTCCTGTTGTTCGCACTACCTCTGAGGTGTAGTTGTATTGAGCTAAATAGATGTTATCATTTACCCCTAGCTGACCAAATGTGCCCTCACTACCTAGGTAGAAACTATCAGCCGTCGTAACAATAGCCAGACCGTTCTGCGGATTGTAGTGAGCATTCTCAACCGTTTTACTTGGTCCACTGCTCAAGTCGCGAGTGTCGTACACGAAACATCTCCTGGAGCTTCCTCCCTGACATCCCACTAGTCTACTGCCGTCAGGACTCAGAGCTATTCTGACTAAGAGATCGTCTCCACTAACATTAGCAGTCTCCAGTAGGTCAAGGCTGCGGCTCAGTCGTAGAAGCTGGTCGCCTGCAGCGATAAACACCTCTCCATTCTCCCTGTTGACCGCCACAGTTTTACTGTCGCTGTTCGGAGGCACGTCCAACGAGTAGCTCGCCAACTCTAGCTGGCCGATGCTCCGCTGCAGCGCGCACAACAGAACAAATACTCTTCGTACTAATCTAACGCCCGTCATCTCAAACTGCGCTGCACTGCTGGCTTGCTAGCCGAAGCCGCCCTGGAGTTAGCAAGGAGGGTTAGTCTTCCTCTTCTTCTTCTTCTTTCAGAGCTGCCACCCTGTACAGGCAACCGTCAGTAAAAACCTCAAGAAAAAGCACTACAGTGCAGTGCAAACCCTCGGCGAACTGCGCATGCGCGATACTGCTAACGTGGTCTCTCCCTCTAGTGGCTCGCGGAGAGTCTGACACTGGCTAGCTACAGTAGTAGATAGCATTCGGGAGTCGATACATGCCATTCGTTGTGACTTTCTGAGCCCCCAAGGTACACAGAGCGAGCGGATCAGGTCGAGGTAAGCCCAGTGCATATTGGTTTTTTCCGCTTGTTTTCACGGCATATCTCTCGAATGCCGTTTCAGGAAAATAGCCCTTTTCTTTTTCAGGCTCGCGTAGTTCTGAAGCCGCTGGTATCGCTAATAGGCCGCCCCGTAGCCTGTAGTGCCAGAATAAGCGTCGACACACAGACTACTGTAACCGTCGCTGTCCATGCGTGCCGGCCGCGGGTTTAATATCCTATAATCTTAGTGCGCATGCGCGCATCGATGCGGAACTCGGAGCCACTAGTAACGATTTGTGTCTCTAGGTTGCTAGAGAGCGGTGCTATTTACGGAAGATGACAATGTCCTTTGCTGAAATTATAATTGTTTTCGAATTCGCTGATGCATCTATTGAAAGGTATTTACATGTGTGTGTAAAGCATCAGCAGGTGTTCTGTGGTGTACTTTCACTGTATTACATATTGAATAGGGTGTTTGTTAATTCTATAGAAAGGATGAGGAGGAAAAGAAAGGATGAAAGGAGAAAGGATCTCATTGATTTATGATTTATGTCAACAAGGCCTTCAGTGTATTATAGAGAGTTTTGAACACAATGCTTCCACGCTATTGGATGTTATGAGAACTCTAGTTCAGAGAATGATCACTGAATGGGATCAACAAGCCAGTCACCGAGGAAGACCAAGGATAAGGATTGAAGAAGAGCAGCTGAGATTTTTTGGTGGAAATTAACTTCAGGATTGTCGATACAGCGTCTTTGTTTGGCTGTTTAAGGAGGACAATTGAGCAACGAATACGTGAGTATGGAATATCCCACACTGATTTCAGTAACCTAAGTGATTCCGATCTGGACAGACTGGTAACTGGTGTTGTGTCAGTGCACCCCGAATTTGCCTTTCAGTTCACAAAATGTTGTAAATTTACACACTTCTAGAAACGTCAACAAAAATGCCGTCAGGACTCAGAGCTATTCTGAACTTTGACCCGGTAGGCGGGCGCATTGTCTCGTAAAAACCACCCACGCATCCTCAGAAGTGGTTGGTCGGCACTTGGATGTTCATCTACCCTTTCAGTACTCTAAAAAAAAAGTAAAAAGGTCCGGATTGAGTGAGACATGTCATAAATGTCTGAGCAGGCTGAAAGGCAGGCACAGAGGCTGTGCGTAGGTCTGTAAAACGGCAGAAAGAAAGATCGCGACAGTGCGCGTGCGCGGGATGAAAGGGGTGTGTCGAGTTGGGCAGAATTACGCATGCGTACAAGAGAGTTGCTGAAAACGCCGATCGGTCGCTCGCAGAAGCCGAATCGTGACTGAAAGAGACTGAGTTAACTAAGATTATCTTTTATTCTTCCGCCCCTATATATACCGTGCCAGGAAGCAGCACTTCCACCACTTATAATCAGGTTTCACTTTTGGAAGAGGATATTTGAATGAGGATGGAGTCTGTTGTGGAAACTCATTGTTGTGTGTAAGATAGGACTACTACCTGGTCAGCTAGGTAGGAAAGGTTTATGAGTCATGACCTCACCCACAATCCTAAGTTGGCATAACTTGTGCTTGTTAGCAAACACAACAATGGGTATAAACAGAACACATCATGTTATGCCACAATCAGTTGCCAGTTCCTCTGCCATGTCTCTGGTCAACTGAAGGTAAAAGTCCGGTGTCCCGGGAGAATAGTCGAGATAAGTTGTGGACAATGAGATTTTGGGAACGGCAGACTCTATCTGTGTGCCCTCTCCCCACTCATTGAAGGAGGTAATGGACACCAGTCCTCCTCTACTACTACGCTTCGCTCTCCTAAAGCCCTCTTTGTAGTACGCTCTGTCCTGAGTAGTGAGTCTGTTCCAGGGGCGCACCTGAAGATCGTCGTAGCCCGGCCCGAAACTGGGGATGAAAATCAAGTTCTTCTCTGCAGCAAACTCGGACACGGTGCCCCAGTTGGTGTAAGTGGACCCGAAACTGAAGCCCTTAAAGTAAGTGTAGACTCCGTCGAATCCTCCATCCACTGCAGACCTCATGTGAGCGTGCTCCACAAGCAGAGCTATGGCAACACAATCCTCGTCAGTCCCTCGTACAGAGAGGGGCCCCCCTCGTTTGAAGATGGACGCCCACTCTCTTGCCTCACTGAGGTAGGAGTCATAGATATAGATGAGAGGAAGGTGGAGCATCGCCCCATCGTTAGGATCCAATCTCTCCAGCTTATAGAAGGCAGGGTGTTGGCTGTAGTGGGAGTGGATGTATTGGAGGTCTCCCCGCACTGATTGCGGGGTCCTCCCCTTGTACGGCTCAATATGGAGGGTGAGTTTGATGTCGTGTGCAAGGGCAGCGTCCAGTAAAACCGGAATGACTGGATCAGGCGGGTTCGTCAGCGAGACCCACCGGGTACCATGAGATGGTGATCACTCCCACACCGGCCACTCGTAGCTGAGTCATGTGCGTTGCTACTATAGCCAGATCCCGTGAGCTGTAGCAACCGAGCTCTGGGTATAAACTGGCTCCAATGTCGTCTGGAGGGACGTGTCTCCCCTGTGGATATTTGCTAGTTACACTGTCCTTCCAGTGGGGGAGGTAGCGGTGATTCCAGTGCATGTAGCTGCCATCAGTCTGCATGTTTCCATACCAGGCATAGTAGAATGCATGGAGACAGGGATTTGGCTTAGGAAGGGTGAGGTTTCAAATGACGACACAGATACACGTTTCATCATCAGTTGTTTTCTTTTTTGGCCACTCCAAGTTGCATTCCCGTTTCTGGTCAGAGCCTTTTCAAGTCAAGATCATTCTACTTGCGCATGCGCAGGTAGGGCCTCAGAGAGGCGCGGTTCGTATTATGCGGCGTACATCATTAGCTAATCGGATGCTTCTCTTTCGGCTGTTACAGACTAACAGCGGGTGAACTTTTTGGGGCGCTGCTTGCCCTGTGGCGGTGCGCTAATCATCTGGGGTGACAACGTAATTTTCAGGTCAGTGTCAGTGGTCCGCTTCTTGGCGTCCTTGCTTTATGAAACAGGGGTTGCAACCCCCTCATCCCCCGCCCTGGATCCGCCCCTGGTACTAGGGGCAGTGGGACTCCGTCGGTGACGGACTCGCTCAGCGCGCGAACGACGACATGTGTGTCACGTGGTCACGTGATCATTATGTCGCTATCACCCGCTTCACATAAATTTTTCGGGCTATATCCTGATCCTATTACCGCTCATTCGCCAAGCGCATTCCAGGTTTGTATTATCATACAGCCGGCCTACCGTATGCTCTACGGCAGCTTTTAACGAAAACACCTGGAAATATTGAACTCTGCTGTGGAGGCATCCCACGGGCACGGGTACCGGGTGTTTTACGCGTGCAAATGGTGGTTGCGCTTAAATCGCGCGGTTACCTAAATTCAATCAAACCGCGCGTGCGCCACGTTAGCAACCCCCACCGCCTCAGTTCCCATAGAGTTTGTTTACATATACTTTGGAATTCAGTTATGGAACGTGTAGAGAAGCAGCACAAAAGGCACAGGATCATATTTCCGGTAACGCGCATAGCGTAGTAACCGCGTAACTCTACTGCGCCTGGATATCATTTCCTTAGCAACGCCGAAAATGGCTGTGCGGTTTGCGCATGCCATTCTTCTCGCACCTGTCAAGGCCAGCACACAATTTTTTCAAGGCAAGTAAAAGATTAGTTCAACAGTGGTACAATTGATCTACAGAATGAACAGTATTTAGTTACTAGAACTATTTTTTCCTGTGCACTACAGCCATTCCCCAGAGGTGCATAAATCGCATTAATTGGCAAGTGTCAATGACACTAGACTCCATAAGAATGACACTAGACTCCATAACAACAAGTTGGAGAAGTATTGCAGAGTGTGTGCAAAGGTTTTGCGGAAACAGCACATTTCTGTCATGAAAATACAGAACTACTGAAAACATTCAACATTGACACTACGACAGACCAAAAACATGTTGCTACAAATGCCACACAATTGCGAACAAGATCCCAAGTGGGGCTGTGGTTGAGACAGCAGTGGTGCCAGTAGACTGGGAGAGTCATGGGACTGACTGTTGGGTATGCAAGGGGAAAGCGGGGAGACCGAAAAAGGCTAAAAAGAAGCAAGGGTCGACAGCGGCAAGGGAATTGCCAACACTGTTCTAAAAACTGCCCCCACAAGTTGGCGAGCAGTGCAGCCTCTCTCTCTCTCTCGATTTCTCCCACCGGCTTCTTCTCTCTCCTTGCACGACTGTAGATCGGCCTGTCAAGACACCGTGCAGCAATCTTGTATGCGCCGAGTGCATTAGTAGCCTAGCCGAGTCAAGTCTTCAGTGCCCATGCTGCAAGGAACATCATGAACTCTCCCCCACACTGTTTGTCCCTGCTTCAGATGTTGTTCTGAAAGTTATAGGAGCCCTCTTGATACAAATCCTCTTGTACAGCGGTCATGAATGTCAAGCACTTAGCAGAGCACGTGAAGTCTGGCTGCGAAGCACACATTGCGTCCTTTTCACCATCCAAGCTCACGATGAAGCAGATCATCTCCCGTCCGCTCCAGTCACCTCCAACTGACCCCATCTTTCGTGAACTGTGGGCAAACAGCCACCACCAGTGTGTACAATAGTGCGGTTAAGCAACGGTCGAGTACGTCGCGCAAAAAATAGTTCTTGGCATCTCACCTCGACTATCCTGTCCTCCATAGATGTCTTTCGCCGTTCCTTAAAGTTTTATGTGGATATAAATTCAGCTAAACGTCCTCCACGAGGGACAAACACGAAGCCCGCGAGCGGATATAGATCCACCGAGGAGCGCCGGTACGTGAACCGAAGCCGGCCAAGTATGGTACCGTTGCGTAGAGCAGAGCCTCACCGTTCCGCTTGCGCTTTCCCTCACGCTCTAAAGCGCTTGTACGACGCGACAGCGCAGCGCAAAGATCGCACCCTTACGTTGCCATGGCCCGTTGCTAAGAAAAATTGCGGCGCGCGCCAGCGTTCGTGACGTCAACGTCTACTACGCGTAATCCGTAAATGAAACATATCGGCCGGGATCCCCGAGCAGCCAGTGAGCGAGCAGCCAGTGAGCGAGCATCTACGTCGTCTTTCCTGGCCTGCCTGGCTCTGCACAGCGGAGGGACCTGCTATTTATCCCCAACGCATCGGAGGCTCTGCCGTCGTCGCCCTTGGTGCACTTGTTGAGGTTTGTTTAGACATAGCTACGAAGCACCGGGTGACTCTGTTGCCCCACCAGTGCAGTGTTGGTGTCGAGGTTGGTATACTAGACGCGGCGCCCGGTCGTGGTACATACGTCCAGCTAGATACATGGGTTTTGTGAAACTGTGTCATTACCCATCTGGATGAGCAGAGTAAGCCAGCTATCATAGATTGGTTTGTTACCTCAGTGTCTACACAGCCCTTTACACCACTAGATTATGGCTGCGATGCGTCGCATTAGAAGAAGTAACAAAATATCTCTTAATTTTGTATCACGCACTCGAAGTCAAAGACCACGCATTGGTGTTCGGAGGGAAATAGTTTCTGTGATACCGACCCCCAACCTTACTTCCAGTGATGTGTCTCTGGCAGTGGAGGATCGTGAAATTCCGGAGGAAATAATATGCCATGAAAATGTTGTTGAAACTGGTGCTGTGGATGTTTCAGCGCATAGCAAACGTAAAGAAAAATTAGCTGAAATGTGGGACAGTTTGAGATCTAGTGCAACAGAAGTTTTAACTGAAGGGTTTGGGTTACCTGAAGTTAAATGCTGCTGTGAAGAAAGAGCCACAGTTAGGTGTTTGCAGTGTGGTCCGTGTTCATACTCCTGTCCAAGATGTGCAGTGTTACAGCATAAATCCTCCCTTTTCCATCATTGTCCAGAAGTTTGGAATGTTAGTGCTGTTGAAAATATTGATCAAACTCGATTCAATATCGATAGCAGCTACAGAGCAACGCACATGGAGAGAGAGATCACGTGATACAAAAGTAATATTGAAATCAATGGATAAATAGAATGTCCAGTTCTAGTACAGTTCTGGTGCGAGTGTTTCTTTCCAACACTCCTCCTCACTCGTTACCAGAATGAAGTCCTTGGAGAGTAGTAACTCCAGCCATCGATCGTAGCTTCATAAACTGTTCCTTGGGAAGTCCTTTGGTCATCATATCTGCGACCATCTCCTTTGTAGGACAATACTTGAGTTCCACAGCTCCTCTGTCCACTTGATCTCTGATGAAATGATACTTAATAGAGATGTGTTTCGAACGACCATGAAACTGAGGGTTCTTCGACATGCTGATAGCAGACTGATTGTCCTCAAAGAGTGTAGTGGCTTCCTGTGGACGATCTTCCAGAACTGCAGTTAGTTGACTCATCCAGATCGCCTCCTGAGCTGCGCTTGCAAGTGCAACATACTCAGCTTCTGCCGTAGAGAGCGCGACGCAGGTCTGTTTCTTGCTCCTCCAGCTAACAGCCCCACCACTGATGAGGAAAAGATATCCAGATGTCGATTTCCTATCATCAAGATCACCACCCCAATCGGCATCCGAGTAGCCGACACAGTCACCTGATGCGTCAGAAGTGAAAGCCAGACCGTAGTCAGCAGTGCCTCTGAGATACCTCAGGATACGCTTTACCGCTGTCCAGTGGTGCATAGTCGGATGTGAAGAGAACTTTGCAACATTGCTGACGGCGAATGCGATATCTGGTCGAGTGGCCATGGCCAAGTACAGCAGACTTCCAACAGCTGATTGATATTTCTGCTGATCAATGCACTCGTCATTTGCTGTCGCTTTCATTAGCTTTGTGCTGCTATCAACGGGAGTAGTAGGGTCCGGTTCATTCGCTCGGCAACACCGTTTTGCTCGGGTGTTTTTGTACAGTGCGTTCGTGACGGATGCCTTCAGACTCAAATAATCTTCGAACTTTGTAGACGTGTACTCTCCACCGTTGTCGGTACGAATCGCCTTGACCTTCCTCCCGCTTGACTTCTCCACGAGTGCTTTCCAACGTAGGAACGCGAAGACTTCGTCCTTGGTGCTTGAGGACGTAGATCCATGGTAGTGTGGTTCGATCATCGATGAAAGTGAGAAATACTCTGCCCCACCCAACGAACGAGCGTTCATCTCCCACAGACATCACTATGAACAGATCCAGTGGTTCTGCTGCTCGGTTTCTTTCGCTGGTCGGGAAAGCGGACTTTGTATGCTTGCCTCTTACGCACGTCTCGCAGAACTCTATATCCTTTGTGTGGTTAAATCGAGCCCCTCCCCAGTTGTTTCGAGAAAGCTTTTGCAGACTTTGCACATTGAGATGTCCATAACGTGGTGTCCACAAAACTTCCTTTGATGCTTGTGCAACACCGGCATTCTGGTCGATTTCGGCCAGTCGACGATAGTAGAGACTTCCTACTCTAGTCGCTTTGGCAACTAACCTTCTGCCCTGACCCCACAATCGTGGCAACCACTGTCATCGAACTCGGTGACTTCCATTTTCAGCTGCTTTTGCAACACTGATAAGGTTGTCTACGGACAGTGCTGGCACATAGAGCACGTCTCTTGAGATTGCATCGTCGTGGTGAACTGTTTGGCAGTTCATCTTCAGAGGTACGTCCCCATACCGATTGCTATCAAGAGTGTGTCCGTCTCCTAGTGACACACTCTCCATCGGTTTCTCGAGAGGTTGAAGATTCATAAACAACTTCTTGTTGCTACACATGTGACATGTAGCTCCCGAGTCAACAATCCAGTTTCCTGT